AACACCCTCCCACTTTCTCCAGCTCCCTCAAGAGTCGGTCTGAGATGTCCAGAGACCAGAAAGAGATAGCTTGCACACATGTGTGATACCATGACAGACATGTTCTCACATGTGGGCGTATGAGCGATGCATGCTTTGTGCCTGGCACTAGGTTTGCGTGCCCACTAGGCATCACAGGTGTTGGAGCCCTCAGTCACATTTTCCAAGTACCCCTGAGCCCAACTAGGGCTGCAGTGTCCTATGGTGTGGACTTTATAGCATGTGTGCCTGGTACCCAGTGCTGGATGACGTGATACCTATGGGAGAATGTGGGATGGCACGCGTGTGGATCTTCCCTGAGTGCGTGTGGGGGGTGCCCGGGTCAGGCTGGGCGGCAGGGAGAGGGGCCTCTGCCTAGACCTGCCTAGGGGAGGGCGGGGCACCGTGGGAACAGCCGGCGGCTCTGGGTGACGTCATGGGGGAGGGGGGGAGAGCTGCCTGGACATGCTGGGTGGTGGCAGCCTCAACCCGCCCCAGAAGGCACCCTTCAGCTTTCCTATCCTCCAGGCTGGATGGGCCTCTGCCCAGTGGGGTACGAGCAGAAGGGAACACTCTTGGCTTTCCCCCGCTGACCACTGAGCATAGTGGCACCTACGTCTGCCATGTTAGCAATGAGCTTTCCTCGAGGGATTCTCAGGTCACTGTGAATATTCTTGGTAAGCATGGGGGTGGGGGATGGTTGGAGAATAGAGACAAGGGACCTGGGTCTAGGGCAAGGGGAGGGTTGGAGGGTAGTAACAGGAAGCAAGACAAAAGAAAGAATTGGGGAAAGTATTTATTTAGGGGGACAGGATGGTTTTTGCAGAGGGTCTAGCTGAGTGGGTGATTGGGGATGTGGTATATGAGGGTGGTGTGTGAGGGCATTGGGGTCGTGGTGGTTCGAGGATATGGGCATGCACTTCAGACAATGGCCTGTCTCCAGCAGACCCTCAGGACCCAGGGCAACATGTGGATCTAGTGTCAGCGTCCGTGGTGGTGGTGGGTGTAATCGCTGCCCTCTTGTTCTGCCTTCTGGTGGTGGTGGTGATACTCATGTCCCGATACCATCGGCGCAAGGCCCAGCAGATGACCCAGAAATAGTGAGTACTGGCTCTCCTTGGTGGGTAGAATTAAGCTGGGAATGAAAAGGAAGCAAGCAGAAGGTGGGACAGAACAGAGGAAAGAAAGGAGACTGAGTAGCCAGACATCTGGGGAGCTTATGGACGAGAAGTGGACAGTCTTTAGGAGGTGAGAGGGGCTTGGGGCCTGGACCACAGCTGGGTGGTGGGAGCTGTTTGGCCTGAGTGAGGATCAGAGACATGCCAACTATGCGCACTTGCTCACACACAGGGCACACATGCTCTGCTGCTACACTGCCACCTGCAGCCACACACTCATACCTGCAGGGCTGGCAGAGCACCCACACCATGCAGCCAGGTTTCACATAGACACCTAGGCTAGGCTCACCTTGGGTGGCCTGTTGCTACCCTCAGTTCCTGACAAGGGGGTGTCTTTCCCAGTGAGGAGGAACTGACCCTGACCAGGGAGAACTCCATCCGGAGGCTGCACTCTCATCACACAGACCCCAGGAGCCAGGTGTGTGCCAAGGTGGGGTGTGTGCATGAGGGGTGGCTTGTGTCTGGGTGTCTATGCAGACCAGGAGCACAGTCCTCCACCAGTCTGGCTGTGACTTGGCTGGGCTGGGCTGTGGATGGGGTTGGGGAGTGTCACTGCTTTGGGACTGGGAAGACTCCTTGTAAGGGCCCCTTCACCATTAGCCTGGGGGTTGCTCTGGGAATCTACCACTAGTTCTGGGTCCAGGGTGGGGTTGGGATGGCAGTGGGGGAATGAGGTTGTATCAGAGAGGGAATGGACCTGTGGGGTTGGGGGAAGGGTGATTAGGGAGGAGGCTGGTGGGAGGACAAGTGGTGAAAAGGCTGAGGGGAGGAGGCTGAGCTCTCTTTTAACTCCTCCCCCATGTCTGGGCCCTGCAGCCGGAGGAGAGTGTAGGGCTGAGAGCCGAGGGCCACCCCGATAGTCTCAAGGACAACAGTAGCTGCTCTGTGATGGTGAGGCCCCCGGCCCCACCGGTGTTCCCACCACTCTCCTCAGGCCCCTCTCCTGGCCCCAAATGTGGTGCGTTAGCAGTCCCCTTACCAATCCCTCGCGCCTCAGCCCTGGCTCATATGTGGCCCAACCCCGAATCTGTGTTGTGCCTTCATACTCCCTCTCCCCTTCCTTTCCCCGTACCTAACATTTGTTCCTGGCCCCTGATCTCGGAGCCCCTGTGCCTGTGGGACAGTCATTACCCCGGCTTTGCCTGACCTCTTATCCCACCGTGACCCAACCATCCCCCATTGTATCTGAATGCCCTGCTTTGGTTCCTGACTTGACCTCTGCCCTTGGTCTCCAGAGTGAAGAGCCAGAAGGCCGCAGTTACTCCACACTGACCACAGTGCGGGAGATTGAAACACAGACCGAATTGTTATCTCCAGGCTCTGGACGGGCAGAGGAAGAGGAAGATCGAGATGAAGGCATCAAACAGGCCATGAACCATTTTGTTCAGGAGAATGGGACCCTGCGGGCCAAGCCCACGGGCAATGGCATCTACATCAATGGTCGGGGACACCTGGTCTGACCCAGGTCTGCCTCTCTCCCCTAGGCCTGGCTCCTTCTGCTAACATGGGGGATTTTAACTCATCTCAGGGGGGCCTCCTTAAATGCCCCTATCTCTTGAGGAAGATGCTCCCCACCCCACTGACTGCTCCATGTTTTCCTCCAATCCTTCTGTTTATTGGTGGGGGGGGCTCCATTTGAGTCTCTCCCACCGTGTGTGCAGGTCACTGTGTGTGTGTGCTTTTGTGTTTGTGTGAGCATTCACTGTGTGTGGAGGGATGATTGTCTATGGTTATATATTGTGCTGTCATGTTAAAGTCCAAGTGGACAGTGATGTGTGTGCCACAGGATTTGGGTGGCTGTGTGGGGAGTGATGTCAAGGTTTGGTTTATGTGTGATGTGACTGTGTGACCTCTCTACCTGCAAATGTAGGTATTTTCCTCAGACCCCAGAGCAGTATTAATGATGCAGAGGTTGGAGGTGAGAGGTGGAGACTATGGGTCAGATCCAGGTGTGCGGGCATAGCTGGAGCTGGAATCTAGCCTCTGAAGTGGGGGAGCTGGGTTCCCACCACTCTGGAGCCACCGGGCAAGTGTGAAGCGGCTGCCCAGGGGTCTGCCAGAGGTTTGAACTGTTACACGGTAGAAGCCCTCTGCCCTCTGGTGGCCTGTGGGCCTGTTGCATGTACATACTTTCTGTAAATAAACTCACAGGGAGCTTTCAGAGCGCTACTCCAGTTCCCGTGTAAGAGAAAGAGAAAAAAAAAATTAAAAACCTTTCGATTTATCTGCATGTTTGTTACTGGGATTGCTTGCTGAGAGGCCAGCCGAATTAGGAATTCAGCAAAGCTGGACCTCACTCAGACCCCACTCAGTGGGCTAATTTCTGTGATTGTGAAAGGTGATTCTAGGGCATCTTCACCTAGGCAGTCCCTGTGGAAGGAGCCTGACGGCTGGTGACATCTGGAATTGGGGTGTGAGCCCGGTGGCTACTGGCTAAGGGAGAACACGAAAGTCTTCTTGATCCAAACAGCCCCTCACCTTTTCCCCTAGCCCCATTCTGGTTTTTTGTTGTATTCACAGTTGTTTGTGGTCCCTTAGTATCGAGGGCTCCTGGTTCCACCCTGGTGTAGGGGAGAGAGGGTAGTTCTTATAGATGGGGGAGGGTGAATGTTCAGGTGAGGGGGAGGAGGCGCCAGGGGTGAGAATGTCTCCTTTTCCCAGGGGTTTCTGGGTCATTGATTCAGGGCTCTTTTGGCAGTTTCTCTGAGTGGGGTTTGGGGTTAGATGTTTATATTTATTTGGCCTCAAACCGAATAGCAAGATTTAGGGCTATGGATGTGGCTCAGTGGTAGAGTAGCTTGCTTAGCATGCCTGAGACTGAAGGTTCAATTCTTAGCACTGAAAAAAATAAAGAGAGAGAGAGAGAGAGAGAGAGAAAGAGAGAGGAAGAGGGAGGGAGAGAGAATACTGAGAACTAGTGCCTGTGTGGCTTGAACTCTGCTGGATTTCTGGACCAAAGGAGAGGCTCCCAGCCTCTGTTAGCCCAGTTGGCCCAGGACTTTGTGGACCCCAAAGCTCTGGTATCCTAGTATGTACATTTTGTGTAAATATGTGCATATTTGTACATAAAATGATATTCTGTTTTAAAATAAACAGATAAAACCTGTGCTGTCTGATTCCTGTCTTTTGCCTTGAACCATAAAAGCCCTCAACGCTTGATCCCTGTGTCAGTACCAAGTAGGGCAGGAGCCTGGATACCTGTAGCTGGGAGGGAAAGGGCAGAGAATGGCTTCCACAAGGCCTCCAATCATCTCTGAGGGTCCCCAGGTTGGGGAGTAGAGCTAAGAACCCTTTCTGGGAGAGTCAGTGTCTTAGTTCAAAAACCTTTCTTGTACTGGAGACTTAAAACAACAGTTGTGTAAAATAGACAGTGGTGTACCCTTTTGACAGATAAAGAAACTGAAACCCAAGTTAAATGAACTCCACAGACTGTTAGAGCTGAAAGGATAATTTAAAGATCATCTAGTCTGTGCCCTTTATTATCATAAGTGTGGAAACTGAGACTCAGAGAAATAATGTGGCTTGGCTGAGGTGTGAGGCCTGTCAAAGTGGAGCCTGGGAATGCTCTCTCCTGGGTGAACTTCTCAGGCCCTGTACCACCTTCCTCCTAGGCAAACCTCAGGTCTCCATGATGGACCCAAGGATTCTGGTCTCTAGGGGTGTCAGTCACCTGCTCATGCCCCAGGAGCCATCACCCCACCCCAGGGCTCTGACGTCACCTCTCCTTGACCAATGGGTGAAGTTCCAGCAATGGGTGAGGATGTGAGTGTCAGCTACCTCCCCCACCACAGGCCCTGTGGTTGCAAAGATGCTCTAACAGGAAGCGGGTTTGAGGAGCTGCACAGCTTCCTGCCCCCCCGCAACCCCCCTGCCAGAGCTGCTCAGGGCGAGGAGGGCGAGTGCCTGGCTGGGCCACGAGACACAGCTTTGTGCCAGGGTCCTGGCAACTTCCCCTTCCACAGCTACTTCCTTGTGGCTGGGGACCCAGAGGCGAGAGCTGCTGCCCGTTGCCCAGGCCACCCTCCACCTCCAGTTTAGAGCCCTGCCCCCCTGGGGCTGGGCCAAACCCAGTGGCCAGCTGGGATCCCATGGGGGACTGGTAGGGCAAAGGTCTTGGGGGACAGAGGTGGCTGGGACAGAGCCCTCCGGCCATGAAGTCTCGACAGAAAGGAAAGAAGAAAGGCAGTTCAAAGGAGCGAGTGTTTGGGTGTGACTTGCAGGAGCACCTGCAGCACTCGGGCCAGGAGGGTAAGGAGGCCAACTTGGAGATGTGGGTGGGTGGGTGGTGGGGAGGACAGACAGCAAGCGTCTTCAACCTGAACTGGTCTGAAGGGAAGGAGCTGCTTCTGGGTGCTCCTAGAGAAGGGGGCGGCAGCCCAGGGTCATCACCCAAGACACCTATGAAGAGGGAAGACAGGAAATGTGAGGCAGAGAAGGCAAAGTGATGCCTTGGTGTCAAATTTCTGGGAGGATTAAACATTAGCACCAAAGGAGCAGTGAGAGGAGAGGACAGAGAGTTTGGAAACTCAGGAGAGGTGGCCAAAACAGAGATGAGAGGATGCCAACCAAGGACAGACAGGGTCAGAAGAGGAGTGGCGGAAGGGACAGTGGATGGTTTTGGGTCTGAATGAAAGGAGACAGGAGAAAGGCCCATAGAAAATACGAAGAAAGCACTTGAGGAGGATTAGGGCCTCCTACCTGGAGAAGAGCATCTAGGGACAAGGACCTGGTCCTTTGAAATATTGTTGGGCCACAGGAGGGTATTGGGTGGGGATGGCCTCCTTTTTTTGGGGGACTCCTTTTTTAGTCTTTGCAGTTCTCTGGTTTGCCCTGTACAAAGGAGAAACAGGTTCAAGGTGGAGGACAAGGGGAGAAGTGGCTGAAATGAGGAACACCGGAAGAGTGAGAGAGTTAGCTTCAGGCCTGCTTTGAAGCTGGGGTTGGAAGTTGCAAGGGAGGCTGGGTGTGGGGACTGTGGATGGGGCTCACCCATCTCCTTCTCTAAGTTTCCCTGGAGTAGGTTTGGAAGCCAGGAGGCCCAAGGATAACACTAGGATCACCCCTGTGCCTGGCATGAAGTAGCACTAAAAACCATTTCTTAACTTGATTTGAAAATAAACCAAGGTATACAGCTGCTCAGCCTGACTTACAGAGAAGGGCACGATTCTTTCCCCCTACCGCACCCCACCCCACCCCAATCTGTCATTTCCTCTTTGTCCCCTTCTCTGCTTTGGCTGTAGCCTCTGCAGTTGAGGGAGGGTGATGGTGGTTCCAAGCTCATTTCCTGCTCTTAGCCCCGCCCTTGTGTCCCCAGACACCTCCTTCCCCTTTTCTCCTCCCCAAAGGGCCCCAACTAACTTGGCCTTGGTTAAGGGAAAACCCAGGCCCCAAGGAGGAGTATTAAACAGCTGAGGCCCGCTTGTCTGCACCTTCCTCTTCTCACGGGGCAGAATGAGTACAGCAAAGCTCCCAGCGTTCTCCTTTGCAAGGATTCCCCTCTAGAGTGATGATTCTTGGCCAAGGACCTCATAATTTAATTAGGCATGATGTTTTCCCAGCTCTCTGCAAACTCTCGTTACGACCTCCTCATCCTGCCACAGCCTTTCCTGTGGTTCTCATCACCAATCCTATCTTGAAACACTGAACCCACAGAGAGCCTAGACCCCATTCCTGTAACCCTACTGGCCTCCATCTGCATTCCCAGCAGGGAAAGAGCAACTGTCTAGAGGGGATAAATATATAGCTTCTGCATCCTGATTTCAGGTGAATTCCAGAGCAGGTGAGAAGCACTTCAAGAGTAGCACCAGAGAAGTTTGTAGCAGCCCCTTCGGCTCCCTCAGCTCTTTGAGACATAGAGAGGTGAAAGGACAGCTGGGTGCGGTGGCACATGTCTGTAATCCTAGCTTGGAAAGCTGAGGTAGGATGATGGAGATTTCAAAGCCAGCCTCAGCAAAAGGAGGCATTAAGCAACTTAGTGAGACCCTATCTCTAAATAAAACACAAAATTGAGCTGGGGATGTGGCTCAATGGTCAAGTGCCCCTGAATTCAATCCCCGGTACCTCTCTTCTCCATAAAAAAAATGGAATGACAGAAGGAAGCTGGCTTCTCAAAAAAAGACCCGTCAAAAAATGATGGCCCAGACCAGGGAAATCTGCTTCTGGTGAATTGATCCACTCTCTGATGGTCTTGGTTTCCTCTCATCTCAGCTCTCTCTCAGTTCTTTGCCCTCAAATGGGTTTCTTTATTCCCAACCTATATGCATTCAGATTTTCCTTTTCCTAATCTTTATCTCTTTGGTACCTTGTTCAGATTTCAGATTTGCCAGGTCCCTGAGATTCAGGCCTTCTTCTTTGACACAACCCCCATATCCTTGACATTTCCATCCCTTTGACATCATCACCCCAATGTTATCTCTAACTTCTATCTCTGACCTCATCGCTGATCACAATCTCCTCAAGTCCCTATCTCTCTGGCCCTGTATCTCCTCCCTCATCTCCTGACCCATTTCCTCTATGGCTCATAACTCCTTAACTTCTTAGTTTCTTCTTTTTTTTTTGGTAATGGGGATGGAACCCAGGACCTCCTTCCTGCAAGCTAGTCAAGCACTCTCCCACTGAGCTACATCCCAAGTCCACTCCTTAGTCTCTTGCATGCTCTTGGGGGCATTCTCTGGAGATTCAAAATCAACCGAGAAGAACAGGGTAGGAAAGACCTAGTTTGGCCATTGTTCATGTGAGAACAACCTGGGGGTTTAAGTGATAGTAGAGTAATTAACAGAGTAGTTCATAAATACTCCATCCTGAAGGCATGGATGGTGACCGGTAGGGCCGGTACTAAGGTAAGGCCGGAGAGGTGATGAAGGCACTTAAGGAAGGAAGCTCTCCACTCTTAGGGGCAAGTGCCTCATTCTTAAGGAGGTATCCACTCTCAGGACCGTGCAGGACCACTATCAGCACTTGCACTGTCTTGGATGAGCACTTCCTTAAATTTTGTACCCTCAATGATTCCATTGTCATATCCAATCCCTGGCTGTGGTGGGAAGGAGTCTGAAGGGTCTGAAAACCAGGTCATGTGAGGAGCGTTGAAAGATAGTGGTTGATGGATTTATTGACCTTTTCCTTCATTCCATATTTCTATCATACTTTGTTCCACAAAGAGCTTGGAATGACTTCCAGAACTCAACACAGGATAAATAAATACCCGAAGCATTTGGATTGAAGGGAAAGCAAGAAGATCAGCACCCAGAAATATGTATCAGCTGGTTCTATATGGTTCTTAGAGGTGGGCTCTGAGCTTCCTCATGGCTAAAGACTCGCAAGGCCCATAAGAAAAAAGAATAGTTGGGCTAGGAGAAACACAGTTTTATTGTGTGTGTGTGTGTGTGTGTGTGTGTGTGTGAGTGTGAGATTTTTGTTGTATTTTTTTCTTACAGTGACAAGTTAGAAAGATTTCTATGAAATTTCTAGTTAATAGGATCCAATGTTTTTGTCATAGGCAATATTCTTTATTAAGTTTTCAAGGGATGTTAATGATTCTTACAAGTGATTAATTCATTGAGTCATTTAACAAACATCTATTGAGTACCTGTTCTGTTCATTACTGTGCTAGATACCGGGAAGATGCTCTCATTTTCCAGAATGCCCAGATCCAAATAAACTAACAAAAACTAATTATAACAAAGTACAACAACCACTATAATGCCGATATGAGCAAAGGACTGTAGAAACTGTACATATAAGAAAATTATGGGTAATGTTTTGTTTTTTTTTTTTTGTGTGCTCCTAGGGATTGAACTCAGGGCCTCACATGTGCTAGAGCCCTATTATTAAGCTATACCCCCCAGGCCTGTTTTGTTTCTGAGACAGGGTCTTGCTATCTTGCCTAGACTCACCCAAATTTTTGGTCCCAAGTGATCCTCCTTAACTTTCTGAATAGCTGGGATTACATGCATGTGCCATTATGGAGGTGGCTAGGAGGTGATTTTGAAATGTGTTTAAAGGGATGCATAGGTGTTTGCTGGACAGAGTCAGAGGGGAGGATATTTCCAGGAAGAGAATAACATAAGTGTCTTTGTCAATTTTGTATTACTATCACAAAATACCTGGGCTGGGAACTTATAAAGTAAAAAGGTCCATTTGTCTCATGATTATGGTGGCTGGAAGATTCAAACAGCATGGTGCCAGCATCTTGGTAAGGGCCCCCAAACTGTGTCATAATATGGTAGAGAAGTAGAAAGGGACTGGCTGTATGCAGAAAGGCCAAGTGTGTGGGGTGTCCTTGCTTATAACTACTTTATAACTACCTGCTCTTTCTCTCTCTTTTTTCTTTTTTGGAGCTGGGGATTGAACCCAGGGCTTTGTGCCCAAGGCAAGCACTCTACCAACTGAGCCCTAAGCAACATAGCTAGACTAATCTCAAAATAAAAAATAAAGGGCTGAGATATAGTTCTGTTCAGAACTAATCCAGTCACACAAGACTTAACCCACTCCCAAGATGCAGTTTTAATCCATTCATGAGAGTTGATTCCCCATGATTTAATTACCATTTGCTAGGTTCCACCTTTTACATGTTCCACCACCTCAAAATCACAACAGTGGAGACAAGCCTTCTAGCATAAGACCCTTTGCATGACAAACCATATTTAAACCATAAGCAGTAAGTACCAAGACTTTTAAATTTACTAGCAAAGGGCTGGATGATAGCATTTATCATTGGATCTGAGAATGGAGAGGTGACTGGACCTGGTTTGTGAAAGATCTTATATACCAGGCTGAAGAGTTCACTTTTTATTCTGAATCCTAAGGTAAGCAATGGGTACTTGAGTGGGGTGGGGCAGGGTGCAGGTAGCAAGAGCAGTGAAGTGCTTTGGAAAGATAACTGGCTTCTAGTGCACATTAGACGGATAAACTGTTCATCACCACTTTCACGCAGATGTACGTAAGAACCCACTGTGAGAAGTGCAGAGCCGATTGAGGGGAACAGAGTGTCAAAAATAATTATAAGACCATATGACTGAAGCTATACTGAAAGCCCACACCAAGGGCTTATAGAGCTGCCAAGAAGAAAATAATTAGTTCTGCCTGGGAGGGAGGGGGCTTTTTAGGAGGAGGGTGGATCTTGTGGGATTGGGATTCAACAAAAGTCTCTTGAGGACCTATTACATCTGACACCATGCCAGAGAATATGAGGAATACAAAATGGATCATATTTAGATCTTGTCCTTAAGGAGTTACAGTATAGTGACAAGGTCGCTATTGAGAATTCAACTTGTTATGCTTTTGGATTTGAATTCTGGCTTTATCTGGGTGCTGCTGGGTACTGGTTATTTCTTTGATCCTCAGTTTTCTTTTCTGTAAAACAGGGAATAGAAGGCCTGATTTATAAGACCAAATGACAGCAAAATTATGAAGCAGAGCATTGCTTGACACCCAGTTGCTTCTCTCCTGCACTGGCCTATTAGAAACGTGGTCATTATTTCATGTACTTTCCTATGACAGAACTAATAACCTTGAACTTTCTTTGTTTTTTCAATATTTCATTAGTTGTTGATGGACCTTTATTTATTTATATGTGATGCTGAGAATTGAACCCATTGCCTCACACATGCTAGGCAAGTGCTCTACCATTGAGCACAACCCCAGCCCCTAATCCTGAACTTTCTTACTATAAGGGATATTTCAGAATAATCTCCATCAAACTGGAGCATGGTGGTAGACCAAGCTACTTGGGAGGCTGAGGCAGGAGGATGGCTTGAGTCCAGGAGTTTGAAGCAACATAGTAAGATCTAGTCTTCAAAAATAGATTAGATAGATAGATAGACAGATAGATAAGAACAACAATCTCCATCAGCTCTGTTCCATTTTGTTTGGGACAACTAATGTCCTTTCATCTTGTACAGAATGCCACATCAATGTACTTTCACCACCAGTCTTTTGCTTTCCCACCCCTACTAACCAGATTGCTGCCCCTTTAAAAATTCGGGAGTAGCATTTGTAATTACAAGAGAGAGAAATTTCCCAATTCAAAAAGGGTAGAAATGAAAGGAATAGGCAGTATGGAGAGGTGGTGAACTCTCCTTCACTGGAGGGGTGTATGCTGAGGCTCTGGACCAATGGGCTGGGGACTACTGAGAGGTTGGCGGGTTGGAGTTGAAGACTGTAGAATTTTGCTGACAAGTTTTAACTACATGAACTTTGCTTTTTAATTTCCTTAAAACCCTTTCCCTGATGCTTCTGTTTCTTAACCCCACCCCCTTTACAATCTCTGGCCTCCTAGATTTTATTAATTTTTTGGTATAGGGAATTCAATGTATTTATTTATTTAGTACAGGGAATTGTATCCAAGGGTAATTTACCACTGAGCTACATCCCTGGCCCTTTTAAATTTTTATTTTAAGATGGGATCTTGTTAAGTTGCCCAGGCTAGCCTCAAACTTTCAATCCTCCTGCCTCTGCCTCCTGAGTAGCTGGGATTACAATTTTCTGATTTTTCTTTCTCTGCCTATCTGTGTCCCCAGTGCCTCAGGTATTAAAGAGCTGTGCAGAATTCGTGGAGGAGTATGGAGTGGTGGATGGGATCTACCGTCTCTCAGGGGTCTCCTCCAACATCCAGAAGCTCCGGTGAGTCAGAAAAGTAAAAGGGCTCTGTGGCCAGGAGGCCAGGGAGCCAGAGCCCCTGGAAAGAGCTGCTGGGGAGAGCAGAGAAGAGGGGTGAGGGAGAGTGGGGAGAAGGAAGCATAAATGCTAAGTACTGTTATAGGGAGAAGCTCTAAGGTATACATACACACACACACACACACACACACACACACACACACACACACACGCAATTTCCCCTTCCACATAAATATACAATTCCTACATACACCCACTCAACTTTTTATGAGAATTTAGAGGGGCTGGGGTTGTGGCTCAACAGTAGATTTCTTGCCTAGCATATGTGAGGCACTGGGTTCAATCTTCAGTACCATATATAAATAAATAAAATAAAGGTGTTGTATCCATCTACAACTAAATTTTTTTTAAAAAAATTAGATATAATTAACATATCTTCAAATTTACCATTTAGAAAGGTACATTTCAGCTGGATGCAATAGTGCATACCTGTAATCCTCGTGATTTGGGACACAGAGGCAGGAGGATCAGAAGTTCCAAGTCAGGCTAGGCAACTTAGCGAGCGAGACTCTGTCTCAAAGTAAAAACTAAAGAGGGCGGCAAATGTAGCTCAGTGGTAAAGTGCCTCTGGGTTCAATCCCCAGAACTAGAAAAAAAAAAAAAGTATAATTCAGTTGTTTTTAGTGTATTCACAACATCTCATAACCATCTAATTCCAGACTATTTCACCATCCCTAAAAGAAACCTTTATACCCATTAGCAGTCACACCACATTCACCCTTCACTGAGCCAGTGGCAACTTGCTTTCTGTCTCTATGGATTTGCTTCTATTGGACATTTTATATAAATACAATGATTCATTATGTGTCTTTGTATGTCTGGTTCTTCAAGGTTTCAAGGTTCATGTATATGGTAGAATGTACCAGTGCTTCATTCCTTCATATGGTTGAACACTTTCCCATTGTGTGTGTGTGTTTGTGTGTGTGTGTGTGTGTGTGTGTGTGTGTGTTTTGGGGGGTGGTACTGGGGATTGAACCCACAAGTGCTTAACCACTGAAATACATCCCCAGCTCTTTTTATTTTTATTTTTTATTTTGAGAAAGGGTCTTGCTAAGTTGCTTAGGGCCTCACTAAGTTGCTGAGACTGGCCTCCAACTTGTGGTCCTCTGGCCTCAGCCTTTTGATCACTGGGATTATAGGCTTATACCATGTCCCATTGTATAGTTATCTCACATTTTCTTCATCAGCTCATATTTTTGACCATTATGAATAATTCTGCAGTAGACATGTACAGTTTGGCATGGACATATGTTTTCGGTTCTTTTGAGTCTATGGTAATTTTGGTTGAATTTTGTTTTCTGGTTTTGAACTGGGACTTGAACTCAGGGTTGCTTTACCACTGAGTTATAGTCCCAGTCCTTTTTATTTATTTATTTTTTATTTTTTAGACAGGGTCTCACTATGTTGGTGAGAGTCTGGCTAAATTGCCCACCCTGACCTCAAACTTGTAATCCTCCTGCCTCAGCCTCCCAAATTGCTGGGATTACAGGTCTGCAACATCATGCCCTGCTCCATGTTGAACTTTTTAAATAACTGTTTTTATAGCAGATGTATCATTTTACATTCCCACCAACAAAGCACAAAAGTTCCAATTTCTCCACTTCCTGCCAACATTTGTTACTGTGTCTTTTTTATTATAACCATTTTGGTGGGTGTGAACTAATATTTCATTGTGATTACATTTGTATTTCCCTAGTAGCTCATGATGTTGATGTCTTTTCATGTGCTTAGTGGCCATTTATATTTCTTCTTTGGAGAAATGGCTACCTAAAACTTGGTCTGTTTTTTTAAAATTGTGTTATTGTTTTATTTATTTATTTGTTTGTTTGCTTATTTATTTTTGTGTGGTATTTGGGATTGAACCCAGGTCTTCAAATGTACTATGCAAACACTTTACCACTGGGCTACATCTTCAGCATGCTTTTTAAAAAAAATTAATAACTTTATTTTACATATATATGTAAATTTAAAAAAAAATTATTTTATGTGATGCTGAGGTTCAGACCCAGTGCCTCACATGTGCTAGGCAAGCGCTCTACCACTGAGCCACAACCCCAGCCCTCCTTAGTCCATTTTATCTTTTATTTTGAAACAGGGTCTCACTGAGTTTCACAGGCTGGCCTTGAACTTGCAATCCTCCTTCCTTGGCCTCCTGAGTAGCTGGGACTATAGGCCTGTGCCAATATACCCAACTTTAGTTAATTGATCAATTATTTTTAATAAATTAATTTGAGTACTAGGGATTGAAGCAAGGGGCACTCTACCACTGAAGTCATCCCTAGCCCTTTAAATTTATTTATTTTTAAATTTTGAGACAGGGTCTCTCTAAATTACCCAGGCTAACTTTGAACTTATGATTTCTCCTATCTCCTTCTTGAATCACTGGGATTACAGCTATGCACCATCATGCCCAACTTTGAGTTTTTAAAAAATCATTAAGCCAATCTTAGTGGTACATGCCGTAATCCCAGCAATTCCGGAGGCTGAGGCAGGAAAATTGTAAATTCAAGGATTGCCTGGGCAATTTTGCGAGACTCTGTCTCAAAATAAAAAATAAAAAGGGCTACCAATATAGCTCAGTGGTAAGGTACCTTTGGATTCAACCCCAGTACCAAATAAAATAAAATAAAATCTTGGATCCGTAAGAATAATTTTTATGTTTTGAATACTAGACCTTTATCAGATAAAAGATTTGTAAATATTTTCTCCCATCTGTGGATGGTCTCCACTTTTTTTTTTCCAGTGCTGGTGATGGTACCCAGGGTTCACTTTCTTTTTTGGTACCAGGGATTGAACTCAGGGACACTTGGCCACTGATCCACATCCCCAGCCTTATTTTGTATATTATTTAGAGGCAGGGTCTCAGTGAGTTGTTTTAGCACCTCACTTTTGCTGAGGCTGGCTTTGAACTCATGATCCTCCTGCCTCAGGCTCCCCAGCCGCTAGGATTACAGGTGTGCATCACCAAACCATGTTTCTTTCTAACAGTTACACCCATTCTTTTTTTTTTTTTCAGTTTTAGGTGGACACAATATCTTTATATTTATGTGGTGCTGAGAATCGAACCCAGTGCCTCACACATGCTAGGCAAGTGCGCTACCACTTGAGCCACATCCCCAGCCCCCACACCCATTCATTTTTAACCAGAAGTACACAGTTAAGTCTACTACCTACATCTACTGACTCCTACGTACCCCTACATTGCTACTCACATACACTGTGACATCTGACTGTCCCTGTTCTTGCATAAATCCACTTACCCATCCACATACCTATCTTCACCTCTCATCTACACATCAACATGTACAATATATACAGTGTCTCATACTTGCTGCTCCCCAACCTTCTTCCTCCTTGTCCCACAAATATTGACCCATGACCCTGCCTGGAGCTCATCTCTATAGCTTCCACCTCTCCCCACATTTCCCCTCATCCCTACCACTCCTGACCACTCTGCACCTCCCCAGGCAGGAATTTGAGGCAGAACGGAAGCCAGACTTGCGGCGGGATGTTTATCTCCAGGACATTCACTGTGTCTCCTCCCTGTGCAAGGCCTATTTCAGAGAATTGCCAGATCCCCTGCTTACCTACCGGCTCTATGACAAGTTTGCTGTGAGTTGGGAGGCAGGGTGGGTGGAAGACAGGGCTCAGGGACATATGCTTTGTCTTCGGCATCCCAGTGTGTCATGAGCCAACCAGAGTCCTGGTGATCCAGAGTGACAGAGACCACAGTAGAGCATTTTTTTTTTGGGGGGGGAAGATACTTTCTTTTCAAATCTCTGAGCTCCTGCTACTTCTGTCCTCCCCACCCTCTTCTCTTAATTCTCTCCTCCACTGAGCCCTTCCCCCAAGGCCTGTGGACTGCACGTAGCATTGTGGTAAGACTTGGGGAGGTAGAGGTCACATTGTCAGAGCTGTAAGACCCTTGGAAAGCACCCACAACAGAGCTTCCCTATACTCAGGAGAAGAAGAACACTTTGTAGAAGTCAAAACTTCTTCAGGGATGTCCCTCCCTTTATTGTAATTGTATGTGGAACATCTTTTGAATGAGAAAACACATGACAAAAACAAATTTCTGAATTGAGTAACACTTTAAAAATAAGCTGCACTTTATTGTGCCTGAAAGCATTGAGAGACCCTGTTCAAGCAGCAACACCCTGCTCAGTCCACACAGAATAGACTGGGTGGCTGTGGGCCTTCCTCAACACCAGGACAACCTGTAGTCCCTGGGGGCACACAGAGCGTAGGACCATGGAAATATCCCTATGCCAGAGTTTTACTGATGAGAAGATTGAGACGGCAGTAGTGGTCTCCCAAGGTTTCAAAACTATTTAAGTAGCATAACCAAGATTTGGTTACTGTCTTTGTGGGCCTCAAATTCTGAGCTCTTTCTAGGATGTCAAGGTAAATTGGGGATGCCTTGGTAAATTGGGGTGGGGGCAGTGTGTAGTGCAGCACAGCTTATTTCTGAGTTTGGCTTTCTGGGTCACTGACTATTGTTTCTTTCACCCTTCTCCCTTCATTAGGAGGCTGTGGCCGTTCAGTTAGAGCCTGAGCGCTTGATCAAGATTCTAGAGGTGCTTCGAGAACTCCCTGTCCCAAACTGCAGGTGTGTGGGTCTCCACCCCCGATGCCCAGGGTCCTGACTTGCCCCTGACAGCCCAGTCTCTCTCTACTAGAGCCTTGATTTGTCCCTCTCAGCTCCCAGGTACCAGCTGGAGCCCTGCCCTGGGTTCCCTGTGTGACCCCTGCCCCCCTTTCTGCAGGACACTGGAGTTTCTTATGCGGCACTTGGTGCACATGGCTTCATTCAGTGCCCAGACCAACATGCACGCCCGCAACCTGGCCATCGTGTGGGCCCCCAACCTGCTGAGGTGGGCACACTGTGAGCAGCCTGTGGGGTTCCTGGGAGAGAATAGCTTCAGAGTGGCTGCTCCCAGGATTGGGTGTGGCTGTGTGTGGAAAGTAGAGAAGGGTGTGGAATCTCATGAAGGCCAGTGAGAAAGGACAGATCAGAATTACATTAGGTGGGTGGAAGCAGTGGCACACACCTGCAGTCCCAGCAGCTTGGGAGGCTGAGGCAGAAGGATTGCAAGTTCAACAGCCAGCCTCAGCAACTTAGGAAGGCTCTAAGCAACTAGCAAGACCCTGTCTCAAAATAAAAAAAAAATAATAAAAGGGGCTAGGGACATGGTTCAGGGCATGGTTAAGAACCCCTGGGTTCAATACCTGGTTCCACAAAACAACATCAACAAAACAATTTAAAAAATTTAAAAAAAAATTTACATTGAGTGGGATGGATCCCACCCATATAAGCCCCTTTTCTGAGATCAAGTAAAGTCCATAATGGCAAGACCTTTTTTGTTTGTGATTTCTTATACTATAGTGTTGAGTTCAGGGACTGAAATATGATAGGCCCTTGCCAAATGTTTATTAAGCAAATCTTAGAGTCTATTGGAGAACTGGCCTGCTTATCACTATGGTACAAGGCATTATGAATTATAGTACTTCCTGTAGTTTGCCTTGTACCACAAGCAAGGAAGTACTCAAAGAAAGTAAGATTAAGGCCGGGCATGGTGGCACAGGCCTGTAATCTCAGCTACTTGGGGGACTTAACAGGAGGATTAACAGTTTGAGGCCAGACTGAGCAATTTAGCAAGACTCTATCTCAAAATAAATAATAAAGGACTGGGGATGTAGTTTAATGGTAGAATACCCCTGGGTGCAATCCCTGGTACTGGGAAAGAAAGAGAAGAAAGAAAAAAAAGAGAGAAAAAAATAAGGAAAGAAAGAAGGAAGAAAGTAGAGAATAGTTTTAAGTCTAAGAAGGCTTCCTGGAGAAAGTGGCATTTGATGCTTGAATCACCATATGGCTTAAGAGATGGAGATGGGGTTAAGGGCAAAAAGGGAGGGAGTATAAGGTATTTCAGGGAGAATCTGGGTGGTAAAATATGGTGGCATTAGAGGAAGAATAACTCCACACCTTCATAGGTCTAAGGACATAGAGGCCTCAGGCTTCAATGGGACAGCAGCCTTCATGGAGGTGCGGGTACAATCCATCGTTGTCGAGTTCATCCTCACCCACGTGGACCAGCTCTTCGGGGGTGCTGCCCTTTCTGGTCAGTGTCCTTTCTGCCCACCATATATCACCATTCTCTGTCTAGTGAATCATGTCAGAGTTATTAAAAGTATTGAAGATCAACTATTTTGCCAGGCACAGAGGCGCATGCCTGTAATCCCAGTAGCTCAGGAGGCTGAGGCAGGAGAATTGTGAGTTCAAAGCCAGCCTCAGCAACGGTGAGGCACTAAACAACTCAGTGAGACCCTGTCTCTAAATAAAATACAAAATAGGACCGGGGATGTGGCTCAGTGGCCAAGTGCCCCTGAGTTCAATCCCTGGTACCTCCCCACACAAAAAAAGATCAATTAGTTCAGTTTTCCCATTTCGCAGGTGGGAAAAAATGAATCTCTTAGAGAAATGTTGGTATTGGTCAGATGGAGAAGATCCTAAAGAGACAATAGTGCAGTTAGGATTTGAGCAACCCTCTTCTGTTGTTGGCTCAGGACATAGTTTGACCTCTGAACCACCATCCCGACTCCTAAAACTACTGATGGTTCATACTTACCCCGCAATCCACCAGGCCAATGTCCTGGGATTTCTTGGCCCTCTTTGTTCATGAGGACATCCTCTTGCATATCTAGCCATGAAAGAACTATATCCAGCGGCCTCTGAATATACCTCTACCCTGGGAGTTGGTTAGGGGAAATGAAGGGCTGGGTACTGAGGTCTCTCTTGGCTCTCTTCTTGGCTGGCCAATTATTTTTCTTTTTCTAGGTGGTGAAGTGGAAAGTGGATGGCAATGTCTTCCAGGGGCTCGGGCATCAGGTAGCCCTGAGGACCTCATGCCCAGGAGTCTACCCTACCACTTGCCTAGTGTCCTACAGGCTGGTGATGGACCCCCCCAGATTCGGCCCTACCATACTATTATTGAGATAGCAGAGCACAAGTAAGGCCTCCTCCCTGGGCCCTCCTCCTTTGTACTGGTCACCAGGCTTCCACCCCTAATTATGTCTCCATTATCTTTAGGAGGAAGGGGTCTTTGAAAGTCAGGAAGTGGAGGTCTATCTTCAACCTGGGTCGCTCTGGCCACGAGACAAAGCGTAAACTTCCACGGGGGACTGAGGACAGGGGTAAGTCTGGGGATTTTGAGGGAGCTCTGTCAAGGTTGTGTAAGGCACTGGCTCTATGCATGTCACCTGTCTTACAGAGGACAAATCCAATAAGGGGACACTGCGGCCAGCCAAAAGCATGGATTCACTGAGCGCTGCAGCTGGGGCCAGTGATGGTGAGTGTGGTTGTGCACTCTTGTGGGTGTACTTGTGTGTGCAGCACAGGCCTGAGTGCATCTATAAGTGTGGCCAACAGTATTCACTAATTAATGAGTGCCTGTATAGTGATAGATGTCAAGTTTATATGGTGAGCTTATTGCTTAATCTGTGGGTGGGCTCATGAGTATACACAAAGGGACCATGTGAAGTGTGTGTGTGTGTGTGTGTGTTAGTGATGACAATTGACTGTTATCTGCAGGAAGGGAAGGGAGTCCCTAGGTATATTTTGATGGGGCAATCTTTGACTCACTGGCTGGGTGGAGAGTTTGCAGTAGTGGCCAATGGAAGCTGGGCCTGGTACCTTCCAGATTTTTTTGCCTCTTAAAGTCCAAGAAAGCAGAGCATTCTCCAGAGTCTTCCAGAAGTGGCTAGGCCCCTTGGAGCTGAGACTGTTGCCTACCTGGCTTTCTTTCTCTTTCACAGAACCGGAGGGGCTGGTGGGTCCCAGCAGTCCCCGGCCAAGCCCACTGCTATCTGAGAGCTTGGAGAATGATTCCATGGAGACGGTAGAAGGTGAACAGGAGCCTGAGGCAGAGGCACCAGGTAGCACAAACTCTGAGCCAGGCACACCACGAGCTGGACGGTCAGCCATTCGGGCTGGGGGCAGCAGCCGTGCAGAGCGCTGTGCTGGTGTCCACATCTCAGACCCCTACAATGTCAACCTCCCACTGCACATCACCTCCATCCTCAACGTGCCTCCAAACATCATCTCTAACGTATCCTTGGCCAGGCTCACCCGTGGTCTTGAGTGCCCTGCTCTACAGCCCCGGCCAACCCCTGCTTCTGGCCCTGGCCCTGGCCCTGGCCTTGGCCCTGGACCCCCAGGTAAGGACCCAGGGATTTTCCAGGACCAGAAAGGGGACTAGAACTTTTGGCTGAAGTTCTGATACTTAGGATTCACCCTGGAAAAGGCAGAGGCCTCAGCCCTTAGGTTGGTTGCCTTTGGCTGCCTCTGTGGATTTAGAGTTTAGGAATTCAGTAATATTATCAAGTTGTATGAAATCCATGGACAGGGTATCCCTGGAAGCCTTAAGACACTGATATACTCAAGAATGAAGGTCTGTGTTGGACACATAAAGCATGGATTTTAATACAAGTGTAGAAATATATGATAGATGATGGTAATGATCACAGTAACATTAATACTAACAGCTAACATTTATTAAGGGTTAATTATATATTAGGGTTGTGTTAGGTACCTTGTGGACATTAACTCCTTTCATTTCTCATTTATATGTAGGTATTATTGTTATCCTTATAGTAGTGATACCTGAAACTACGGTTAAGCAATTTGCAGTTGATTTAGGTAGCAAGAGGCAGGGCTGGGATTTGATCCTTGCTCTGAATCTACTTCCTAAGGTATCACTGATAAGAAGTCCTGAGGCAGCACAGGAGAGGGTAAGGACATGGGCTATAGAGTTAAGTAGATGTGGGTTCATATTTTTGCCATACTACTTATTAGCTATGTGATGTTGGACAAATAGTTTAATCTCTGAGACTCAGTTTTATCATATGTAAAAGAGGACAGTAACCTAGGTAATTGTTTTGTAGAGAAAGTAAGACAACATATCGTAAAACAGAAAGCACAGTGCTTGGTACCTGGTAGGGGCTTAATATAGCTATAAGCCAATATCCCAGTAGTTAGGGATATTGGTCATAAATACTGTGAAGTGCCTCCATTGGGAGTTTCAAACTTCTACTGTATCAATGCTAGGAAGATCCACATTGGAAATGGCCAGGGCTGTTCTTGAATTTTGTATTCCTGGAACTACCTCTTCCTCAACAGATGAGAAGTCGGAGGCAAGTCCAGCCCCCAGTCCCCCGGCTGACTCAGGCCCTGAGGACATGACTCCTGCCCTGGAGGATTCCCTGTCCCAGGAGGTGCAAGATTCCTTCTCCTTCCTAGAGGACTCAAGCAGCTCAGAGCCTGAGTGGGTGGGGGCAGAGGATGGGGAGGTGGCGAAGGCAGGAGCAGCAGGAGCAGCCTTCTCCCCTGGGGAGGACGACCCTGGGATGGGCTACCTGGAGGAGCTCCTGGGAGTTGGGCCTCAGGTAAGGAGGAACCATACTGGGGTTGGGGATGGTATGAAGTTCAGAGGGTGGACAGGGCTGCCTGGTCCTGAGCCACAATGTTGTGCCTACAGGTGGAGGAATTCTCTGTGGAGCCACCCCTCGATGACCTGTCTCTGGATGAGGCACAGTATGTCCTGGCTCCCAGCTGCTGCTCCCTGGATTCTTCTGGCCCCAGGCCTGAACTGGAGGAGGAAAATGGGGAGGAAGTCTTTTTGAGTGCTTATGATGACCTAAGTCCTCTTCTGAAACCTAATCCTCAAAACTGGGAGGGTGCAGGAAATCTGGAGGAAGAGGCAAAAGAGTGTGGAAGTCAAGATTCCGAAAAGGCTGAAGAAGAGCAGGCATGCTGGGAAACTGGGAAAGACAAGAAGGCTGAGCCTGGAAGCACATTTGGCACCAGGGAAGAGGCTGAGGGGAGTCCAGAGACTGAGATGGAGGTTGATAAGGCTGGTGAGGAAGGAGAGGAGGCTGATGGAAGCCAAGAGATGATAAGTTTGGAAAAAGAGAGTGGGGAAGAGACAGAAGCTAAGGGAAAGAATTCTAAAGGTCAGAAAGAGGTTGAAAGTACCAAGGAAGCTAAGGGTGTGGAGGAACAAAGAGAAGAACAAGATAAAGACAAGGAGAAGAAAAGAGAGATTGAGAGAGGAGAGGCCAAGCAAGAAGGAGAGGGAGCTCCAGCAGAATCTGGAAGGGACTCAGAGAACAGGGCTCAGGAACAACTGATTTCTGAGGGGAGCTGGGAAGTTGTACACAAACAGGAGGCTGAGGGAGGCAGAGAGGATGAAGTCAAAAGACAGAGGGGGAATGGGAACCACAAGGAAAGAGAAGACCAAGAACGTGGTGAAGATAGCAGAAGTTCAGAAGCATCAGTTGATGGAGGAGATGGGGAGGTTATTAGGGAGCGGGAGAGTGGGGACGGAGAGGCGGAGGGAGAACAGAAGGATGGAGGTGACCATTTAAAAGAAGGGACCCTCTTTGAAGGGCCAGTTATAGAATCTCTGGATGTTGATAGTACCAAAGAGGGCAATGCCCAGTCTTCTGAGATGGAACAGGCAGCCTTACAGCCACCCCTGCTAGAGGGGATGGAGCCTCAGGGACAGCCTTGTTCAGAAGGCTGTGATGTATGCCCCTGTGTCCTTAACTCAGCTGGAGGTGTGGGCATGCGCCTGGCTTCTACCCTGGTTCAGGTCCAACAGGTCCGCTCTGTGCCTGTAGTGCCCCCCAAACCACAGTTTGCCAAGACGCCCAGTGCAATGTGTAGCAAAATCCATGTGGCACCTGCAAATCCATGTCCAAGGCCTGGTCGGCTTGATGGGACACCGGGGGAAAGGGCTTGGGGGTCTCAAGCTTCCCGAGCCTCTTGGAGAAATGGGGGCAGTCTTTCCTTTGATGCTGCTGTGGCACTGGCTCGGGACCGCCAGAGGACTGAGGCTCAAGGAGTTCGTCGGACCCAGACCTGTACTGGGGGTGGGGACTATAGCATCATTCCCAGAAGCTCCCCCTGTAGCTTGGTCTCTGATCATTCCCCTCGGCCCCTTAGCTGTCTAGGACTCCCACCTGAAGGCACAGAAGGGTCTGGGCCCCCAAGTCGGTTTAGTCTGCCCCCTAGAGAACCCCAGCTCCCCGACACCCTTACATCACCCCAGCGTCGATCATATGCATTTGAAACACAGGCTAACCCTGGAAAAGGTAAGGGACTGTGATTAGAATCCGACCATTGGACAAAGGAGGCCAGTAAGTTATCTTGAATCCCTGGGATCCCTCAATAGCTGTCTTTTCTGCTGCCTGAGCAGCTACAGTACCCCACTCTATCATAGGCTTTGGTTCTCCAGCTACTCTCTTTAATGACTATGGGAGGCACTGCCTTGATGATTTTACCTGAGCTTGTCTCAGACAGAAAGCACTATCTCTTAGAAGAGAGTCCCAAGAAAGTAAGATCCTCCTTCCACAAAGTGTGTCCACTGACCAAAGGAACATAGGGCATAGAGAAAACTTAGAGGCTTCTTAAAAGTGAAGAATGAAGGGGGAATTCCAGTCAAATGGCTGCCCTCTTCTGAGGCTATGAACTTCTGTTCATGGAATCCCAGTGTAGAAGCAGGAAACACAAGGCCAGGTCAGAGCCTTCCATACACAAACACTTCTAGAATTGCCCATCCCTACTTTGCTCCTAGACCCTTGGTTACCTCCTAATCCTCTTGGTTCCATATTAGGAGGAAGCTATCCAAGCAACTCTCTGAAGTCTTCAGTGTTTGTTGAAAGCACTGGACCCGCTCTCAGCCTCCAATCACCTTGCAAGAGACAATCCTGTAAAGATCTCCTTGCCTGGGCTGGGGATGTGGCTCAAGCGGTAGCACACTTGCCTGGCATGCATGTGGCTCGGGTTCGATCCTCAGCACCACATATAAACAAAGATGTTGTGTCCACCGATAACTAAAAAATAAATATTAAAATTCTCTCTCTCTTAAAAAAAAAAAGATGTATTCTTACATTAAAAAAAAAAAAAAAAAAAAAAAAAAAAAAAACTCCCTGCCCTTGTTTCCTTTGGAATAACTTCCTTCCATTTTAGGAAAGGGGAAAGTTGTCACTCAGGTCCAGGAATTGCATGTCCATACACTCTAGTAAGGGTGAATGTCTCAAAATAAAAATTGTATTTTTACATTTAAAGAGTGTGAGGACTCTTTTTTTTTTTTTTTTTTTTTTTTTAAGTCTTGGGCGATAGATACATTTTCACTTATTTGGTCAAATGTCTCTTTTTTTCTTGTTTGGGTGCTCCTCCTCAGCTGTTGTCATGGAGACCTGTGGCTGGAAACTAGAGCTGGGTTCATGGTGGTCAGGAAATGAGGAAGAGAAACTTACATTTACATAATATTCATTTTATGCCGGGAACTCGGCTAGATGTGTGCTCCTAAAAATATTGCCTTTAATTTTATTTAATCCACATAACAATTCTGTAGAGTTGGTACTGGCATCTCTATTTTTCCGATAAAGAAACTAAGGCTGGGGGAAAAAAGACAGTTAGTGTAGGTTATAAATGATTGGGTCAAAAAGATGGGGGCTGAGTCAGGAGGAAATAAAATGTTAATGCCTTCAAGACATTTCCCATCCTCCACCTATTGCCTAGGTGACCTGCCTGCAGGGAACTGTTCCTCCCTACAAGGAGTTGTTAAAGAATGAAAGCCCCTCTGGGTAGCTCCCTCTCTCGACACTCCACCTTTGGCCCACCTCTGGTCACTGGCCCACCTCTGGTCACTAGTCAGGTATGCAGGACCTTTGGCATGCCGGATAGTGGGAGGAGAGGCCATGAGAACAGAGGAATTCTAAAATGTACTCAAGGGACCGGACACCTAGCTTTGGGGCCGGGTTGTCTGCGGAGAAATCTGTTCTATCCTTTAAACAAAACTTGCTTTCTGTGCTTCTCTCGGTGTTTCCTGAGTGTTCAATTCAATATCTGGGGAAATAGAACTGAAGACCTGCTTGATGCTCATCGAGGACATCAAAACTAAAGCTCATTTTACGTCAAAATACTTGCCAAAGATGTCAGGTAATAAGTGGCAGGGATGGTTTTGTCTGGCTCCAGTTTCCATCATACTACACGACTCCAAATCCTTTTAAAGAGTACATCACGAATGAGAAGAATGGGAATCAAGATTATTCTCACAGTGTGAACCTCGAAAAACTCGAAACCCTGGAATGCCTGAGTGAGTGACTGCTGACGCTAATACAAAAAAGTATGCCAAGATTTACATATGTCCTGATACATCCTCATCTCCGGTTGGAAACACTTCGAAATGATGCCCTGATCCAAGATGGCCTCCCAAATAACCCCTGTTAAAGATGGCGCCTCCCTCCGACGTTCTTCCCTGGATCTCAGCTGGCCCCTCACTCCCTCTAATTTAAAAGGCCCTGCCTCGCACAAACCTAGTCAATTTTCTCTGATTATTGCCCAGAGTCGCTAGGATTTCAGCGAATCCTCCATAACATTACCTCTTTGGGACCCCATACACCTACGTAGCCCTTAGCCCTCGCCAAGCTGAAGGAACGGAAGTGGGGCGGCCCAGAGGCTAGGAGTAGGCTGGGCGGGTTGAGGAGACACTTCCGCCCCTCACTAACATGGCCGCAGGCGGGGAGTGCGCATGAGCAGCTGTCTATGGAGCTACCCGAGTGGGGGGAGCGAGAACACTGCCGGGAGAGATCGGCGGCTGAAGCGGCCTTCGCGGGTGAGTGCAGGACCCGACAAGAGCCTGGAGATGGGGTGGACCAGCAGGGCGGGGCAGTTTTGGTTTTATTTCAGTTTTTCAGGTTAGGGGACTCCCGGGGAGGAAGCCTTTGTTTTGGGGGAGGAGGCCGTGTCTGGTCCTATCCTGCTTTGTGGGCCGAATTGCTCCCCGCCCCAGGCACGCACGTCCCCGCCCTCCTGCGCTGCCCATCTGGGAGCCGCAGCTGCGGGTGCCAGGTCCCCGAGTCCCCGGCGCCCTTTCCTGCCTTCTCTGCCCAGGACCTGGGTCGCCGGGCGAGCGCCGCGGGTCTGGCCGTGTCACCGCGCGGGTCCCCTGGCTCGCGCCTGGAGGGTGCTCAGCTCCGTAAGCGCCTACTGGTTGGTGGGCCTGCAGGGAAACGACTCGTTCTTTGGCAGCGTCTAGGCTCCTGAATTCTTTCGGGATTCTCCCCCACACCCTTTGTGTAAAGACTTAGCAAGGGCTCTTGATGGGCCCTCCTTGCCTGAGCGTGCAAGCCACAACGTCCTTTGCTGATTTCCGTGTCACATATTCTTAACGCTCAGGAAATGCTTCCGTATGTCCAACTAAGATTTGAATAAGTTGCCCGACCCGGTGCTGTGCGCCCTCCGAGGCTGTCTCTGGCTGACAGCTGTAGGCGATTAGTGTTCTGCCCTCTCATTACCTGCTCCTGCAGTCAGCGCAGCAAACCTGAGAGGTACTTCCTCCCCAGTTTTGAGGTTGGAGACCTTGATGGTCCCAAAACACTTACGCTACTTCCCTTTGGGGACTGGGATCTCCTTGCCGCGTTACTTCTTACAGTTTCACTTTCAGTTCCTTTTTTTTTTTTTAATTTTTTTAATTGTTGTTGTTGTTACTCTTTTCTTTGTACGCGAGCTTTTTATCCGCTACAGATTTTCCTGTGATAGGAAAGGTTGGAGGACCTTATGGATAGAGAATTTACAAAAATATTGCCCCTTTCGTGTTGGGATTATTTTTCTTCTTTGTACTGTGTAGCTGTTTCTGGAGGCATCTGTCTCCTCAGTCCTTTGTTTTTTTTTCTATCCTCTGGCTGGGTGTCAGGGTCCTAAGGCAGGCACCTTCTAGATGGATTCCTCCCCCATTGTCTTTTCTCCTTCGGAATCCTGAGCTTTGAGTTTTTTCTCTTCTTGCTGAGGCTCAGTGGATATGGAGTTGTCATAGCAACATTTTAGCAACTGTGTTGCACTACCGGAAGGCTTGATGAATAAAATAGAGGAGGTTTGGATATGACACACTTGGGCTTTAGGATCTCTAACAGATGCTGTAAATCTGGACAGCCCTAAACAAGAACCCTGTCAATGGAATGCTACTTAAGGGCCAAGTCTGGGTTTTTATTTACTTTTTTTTTTTTTTTTTTGGAGGGGGGTGGTGGTGCTGAGGATTGAACCCAGGGGTATTTTACCACTGACCTACATCCTCACCCTTTTTAATATTATTTATTTATTTGGGGGCAAAGTCTAAGTTGCTTCTGGCCTCACTGTGTTAATGAGGCTGGCCTTGAATTTGGTGATCTTCCTTCCTCAACCTTCCCAGTGAGTTGCTGGGAATGCACCACCACCTGGCTATCCCAGTACTTTTTGTTATTTATATTGAGACAGAATCTTGCTAAATTGCTGAGACTGGCCTGCAACTTGTTTACCTCCTGCCCCAGCCTCACCAATGGCTGGGATTACGGGTGAGCACCACCATGCCTGGCCCATGTCTAGGTTGTTTTGTTTTTTGGTACTAAGGGGCACTTAATCACTGAGCTACATCCCCAGGCCTTTTTAATTTTTAATTTGGAGACAGGGTCTCACTAAGCTGCTTAGGGCCCCTGCTAAATTGTTGAGGCTGACTTTGAACTCTTCATCTTCTTGTCTCAGCCTCTCCAGCCAGTGGGATTACAGGCCTATGCCACCATACCGGGCTCATCTAGGTTTTGTAGTTAGGGATGGTTTTCAAAGGGCAGTGGCTTCAGGTTTTACTTCCTAAATTTGAAATTTCTTGCTATCTAGTCTGTCTGCCAGTTGTGAAGTATCAGTGTCCATGACTCTGTGTGTTTTATTTTTTTATTTTATTTATTATTTCTTGTACTGGTGGTTAAACCCAGGGACACTTTACCACTGAGCTATGTCTCCAGCCCTTTTAAATTTTGATTTTGAGATAGAGTCTCACTTAGTTGCTTAGGGCCTCACTAATTTGTTGAGGCTGGCCTCAAACTTGTGATCTTTCTGCCTCAGCCTCCTGAGTTGCTGGGATTACAGGCATGCTCCACTGGGTCTGGTGATCCTGTGTTTTTTTGATAGTGATTGTCTAAACCTGGCCCTTCCTAATCCCCATGAAGCTGCTGTTATGGCAGATCTTTATAGCTTTATTAGTAATCCGTAATACCTTTACTAAGAATCCATTCAAATATATGTTTTCCAGAATAATTATCCCCTCTCCACCAGGTGCTGGAGTGATAATAGAGGGATGAGGAACACAATTTGTAGAGTTATTTTTTCAATCACTACAGTTCAGTCCTCAGCTTCAGAATGGTCAGTTGTCCCTTGCAGATGATTGGGTTATTTTCTTGGCTTTGTCTTTGAGGATCTAGAACTAGGCAAGCTGTTCAGTTTCCCGGACTCACTGTGAACTTCATGATATCTACCAGGACTTAGCACTCAGGGAGATACGAAGACCTTCAAAAAGGGACCAGCTCCTCGGATGTACTCCCTCACAGAGAGATGAAGGGGTGAGTGAAGAAGAGGTAGGGTCTAATGTGAGAGAGATGCAAAATGTCTAAGAGTACTGTCTCTGGAGATCAGCCTGACCTGGATTCAAGTCCCAGCTCCATCCCCTACCAGCTGTGTGATTCAGTTTTCCCATCTATAAAATGGAAGTAATGGTACCTACCTCATAGTGCTCTTATTAGTATTAAATAAGCTCATGCATGTTAAGTGCTTAGCTTAGGACCTGTACATAGTAAACACTTAGACTAACTTGTTGTATTCTAACCTAACCCATCTATTGGGAATACCAGTGAGTTTGGGAGTCATACGTTACTGTGCCAGTGAGCTTCTCATTCACTTCTTCCCTTTGTCCTTTCACCACAATCAGGCAGCAGAAAACAGCTGAAACAGAAGAGGGGACAGTGCAGATTCAGGAAGGTGAGTGTTAAAACTAGGACCAAGACCAAGGTCATGGACTTTCTCCATCCCCCACTAGTCTATCTTATGTATATCTTCTTTCTTTCTTTTCTTTAAAAAAAAAAAAATTTGTAGTTGTTAATGGACCTTTATTTTATTCATTCATTTATATTCGGTGCCGAGAATTGTACCCAGTACCTCACACTTGCTAGGCAAGCGCTCTACCACTGAGCCACAATCTTCTATCATCTTTCTTCTTAAGGATATTCAAGTAGAACAGAGGGAGAAAGGCAGTTAACTCACAGACTTTCCTTCATTCTTTTAATTCAGGTGCAGTGGCTACAGGGGAGGACCCAACCAGTGTGGCTATCGCTAGCATCCAGTCAGCTGCCACCTTCCCTGACCCCAACGTCAAGTACGTCTTCCGAACTGAGAATGGGGGCCAGGTAAGGGAGGGGGCCAGGTGGCTGCAGGTGTTACCTGGGGTTGGGGTTGAGGGATGTAATCAAACATCTTGGGGAGACCTGACTTGGAGGAGGAGGTGAAAATGTAGACTCTTGGGGGTGGTGGTGATAAAAGGTCTAGAGGAGAAATTATTATAGGAAAGGAGAATGATGAAACCTCAGTATAGAGAAAGAAGAGAGGACAGCTGAATCTATGTCTCTGAGGGTTTTTGTTTTGGGGCTTTGTCCAAGGGAAGCTTTATGAAGGATCCTGAGATTCCAAGTGCTTATTCTTCTGTCTTCCCTTCCTACCCTTCCCCCTTCCTCTCTGCTTCTAGGTGATGTACAGGGTGATCCAGGTGTCTGAGGGGCAGCTGGATGGCCAGACTGAGGGCACTGGAGCCATTAGTGGCTACCCTGCCACCCAATCCATGACCCAGGTACAGGGGAATGGGCTGGGGATGGGCTAAATTAAATCTCTGAGTAATAAGAGGAAGAAGGGAACTAATAAATTGGAGGTGAAACCAGGAACAGTGAGGCATCTCAGACTGCTTTGACTGAAGGCACTAGACTTTCCCTTTCTAGATGTTTCTTCTCCTTCCCTCTTCAAAGGATAAAGCTACAGAGTGGTACAGGGGGAAGAAGTATCTGATTGTCAGTGGACTCTGTTCTTTTGCTCCCCTTTCCAGGCAGTGATCCAGGGTGCTTTCACGAGTGATGATGCAGTTGATACAGAGGGGACAGCTGCCGAGACACATTATACTTACTTTCCCAGCACTGCCGTGGGTGATGGGGCAGGGGGCACCACATCGGGGAGTACAGCTGCTGTCGTTACTACCCAGGGCTCAGAGGCACTACTGGGGCAGGCAACCCCTCCCGGCACTGGTGAGATATTGCATGAGGATGCTAGATAGCAGGGCCAGGAAGGGCTGGGGGACATGGCTGGGACAGTGGACCTTTATTCATGACCCTTAGTAAAGACTAAGACCTGGCCAGACAGGGAATCTGGGGCTGACCTCCTAGCAGGAAGGAGCATGTTCTTTTCAGAGAAGGGTCCCAGGGCCTTGTTGAACTTTCTAGTTCCAAGTCCTGGCAGAACCTGCCCCGCATCTTCACAGGTCAATTCTTTGTGATGATGTCACCACAAGAAGTATTACAGGGAGGAAGCCAGCGCTCAATTGCCCCCAGGACCCACCCTTATTCCCCGTGAGTGACCCATTTCTTCTCAGTTACCATGAATAGTCTTAATACCCACTGTAATTTGTATAAGTCCTTACCCCAAACTCAAATCTTATTTAAAAATTTCTTTTGTCCTTCCCTCACTCTGATCATCCTGCTCTGTTGTCAGGAAATCAGAAGCTCCCCGGACAACCCGGGATGAGAAACGCAGAGCTCAGCATAATGAAGGTAGGTGCTGTGTTCCAGATGTGAAGCTAGGGACTTGTCTAATAGGGCTAGGGACTTGCAGGGAAAGAAAGAATCAGTGGAAGTGCCAGAGTCCTGGGGCAAGCCAGGGCATTACCCAGCAGACCTTTGTTATGCACTATAAACAAGTACAAGGGGCAAGTCCCCTAGTTTAGTATGTCTGATGATATCTGAGGGGAGGAAGGGTTGGTCATTTTATCCTGAGGCTTGTGAGTGTTCACTGAGTCACTTTGTCCTCCACTTTGGCCCACAGTGGAGCGCCGCCGCCGAGACAAGATCAACAACTGGATTGTGCAGCTGTCCAAGATCATCCCAGACTGCTCTATGGAGAGCACCAAGTCTGGCCAGGTCATGGAAGAACCCTGGTAGTGGATGGGAGGCCTGAATTCTGTCTCCTGGTATTATTTCCAGAAATAGTAGAGTGTGGGACATACACTTTTCATTCACTCTTCATATCTTTCTCTAAGGTCCCTACATCCATGGGAGATGCTATATCACCATCCTTAGGGGAAAATAAAGTCCAAAGTGTGAATGTTGTTTTGGAAAGCATAGTGCTAGATGTCTTAAATCCTAAGTCCTCATTTTGTTGACTTTGTCTTGCAGAGTAAAGGTGGAATTCTATCCAAAGCCTGTGATTATATCCAGGAGCTTCGGCAGAGTAACCACAGGTTGTCTGAAGAATTGCAGGGGTTAGATCAACTGCAGCTGGACAATGATGTACTTCGACAGCAGGTTCAGACTCCTAATCCCAGTATTACCTCCTAGGCCCCTATAGCCCACTGACCCAGTTTGGGACTCCGTACTTAATTCTCCATTGAGCACTTCACATTTTCCTCCTCACCAGTGGATGTTTAATTTCAGGGGCTTGGTAGTGTCAACTTTTCTACCCATTTCCTTGACTGCCTTCTTTCCATGTTAGGTGGAAGACCTTAAAAACAAGAATCTGCTACTACGAGCTCAATTGCGGCACCACGGATTAGAGGTCGTCATCAAGAATGACAGCAACTAACTATGGGGATTGAGGGGCTTTGGGCCCGAGAACTGCAGATAGCCCAGGAGCGACAGGCTTATCCCGTGCCCCTTTCCTTCACTGCCCACTTCTGGCATGGGACTCTGGGGAGTTCAAAAGGCGTGTCTTTGAACTGAGGGCCTGTGGTATGGCAGCCTGCAGTAGTGTGAAACACACATTGTGAACATGCACTGACAGCCTTGCCTGCCCCTACCATGCAGCCCCTGGGTCCTTATGCTCCTCTTGCACAATGCATGTGCTGTCTCCAAGCTGGATACTGGACATACTAAACTGGGGGGCTTGCCCTGGGCTTGCTTAGAGTACTCAGCAGAGGGTCTGCTGACAAGTGATACTCTGGCTTGCCTCAGGACTCTGGCACTTCCGTTGGTTCTTCCTTTCCCCAGAACTGAGGTTCTAGATGTGGACCTGCGACTCTGGGGAACAGACTTAATGAAGAAATGGGGAAGGTTGCTTAGCAGTGTCTACTGTCCCACAAAGAAACTGGCCAGCAAGCAGCTAAGGCCTGTGTAGAAGTCTCTGAAGCCAGGGAGAATAACAGGCAGGGGCCCACTTGGGGTCTTTCCCCTTGTGGGGGTATTCCCCCCCATTTTTTAAGATAAAATTGTTTGGAGCCACAGTTGTCTCTTTTTCCTCCTTTTGTGGGCCCCAAGTCAAAAGGGAGGTGGCACATTACCCTTTGACCAATAAGGGCTGTGCCAGCTTTAGGGTGGGGTGCCATTCCTATACTCATTACCCTGAGTTGTGTTACCTGTGCCAGATCGGGTGTCGTTTCCGGCTCACCCTGGCAACAGCAAAGATTTCTCCAGTGGGATGTTGAGAGGCACCACGAACAGGTGCTGTGGGGACTGTGCGGGAGGCGGTGCCTTGCTTCCGGTTCCGGTGTGGGTTCTAGGAGGAAGGGAGAGATGCTGCTGACGGCGAGGGGGCGGGCTGGGGCCACATTCCTGCACCTGGTGATCGCTGTCCGCACCATGGCTGGAGGTACCTGTGAGGGAGCCCTGGGATGTCCAATGCTGTCTGTGGCCCTGGGAGTGTGTGAGGCCCCCAGGGTGGAGGTGTATGTGGAGGGAGGAGTGAAGGGGCAAGACCAGAGAGGCTCTCAGGGTTAGGGTGCTGCTAGGGGAGGGAGTATTGAGGCACCCATTCTTCATAGTCCCCCTCTGAAGGTGCATGTGCCCTCTTCTTCAGCGTCCACGGTCTCGGTCTCGGTCTCGCTCCCTGAACTCCGGTCACTCCTAACATCAGGCCGGGCCCGGCTCTTCGATGTGAGATCTCGGGAGGAGGCTGCAGCGGGAACCATCCCAGGGGCAGTCAACATCCCGGGTATGGGATTGGAGGAGACAGCCCAGAAGGGTCTTAGCTAGTGGGATCTCAGAATGGCATGGGGAAGGCGAAATACAGAGGCCGGGTGAGGGGGATCCTACATTTCCCTAAGCTGCCCTCAGCTTCCCACGGAGAAGGGCTGATTGAAGGCGGATCCTGGCAGTGGAACCGGCCTATCCAGTTTGAGGGGAAAGCAGAGGGTAAGGAGAGGGGCAAACCAGCTTCTATATGCTTGACCTCCCTGAATCTAGATGCCTAAGTCTACCTGCTCCTCCTGGCTGCACACACACACACACACACACACACACACACACACACACACCCCAGGATTCAGGAAGTGACTCGCACTCACAGGTCATTTGGCAAATTTCCTTAAGGGTAAGCTGTTTCTTGACTTTGACAGGGAGGGAGGTGGCCACCATATATTGGTTTGGGACCTGGAGATTTTGTTCCATCACGAGCTCTTCTTGCCTGATTTCTGACCCTGAGAATCAAGACTTGCTTTCCATTTATTCTCTGGACTCCTCTCCCAGTGTCCGAGTTGGAAAGTGCCCTGCAGATGGAGCCAGCTGCATTCAAAGCATTGTACCGCACTGAGAAGCCAAAGCAAGAAGATGAGAATCTTGTTTTCTTCTGTCAAATGGGAAAACGGGGCTTCCAGGCCACACAGCTGGCCCGGCGCCTTGGATACACAGGGTATGGGCATGGGCAACGTGTGGCTTGCTAGCTGGGAAGTGATTGGGGACTGCCTATTGGGCATGTCCTTCCCTTACCCCTCTTTGTTTCCACAGGGCTCGAAACTATGCTGGGGCCTATAAGGAGTGGTTCGAGAAAGAGGGTTAGGCAGAACCCTTATCTCTCCCTCCCACCTTAACAAAGGGTGATGAAGGAGATGACTTGCTGGGCTAGGCAACTCCTTTTAGTGCTTTGCACACAGAAACATTAATAAAGAACATTTTATCAAGTATTGGAAGTACTTAATTTGTTAGGCAGGCAGAAAATGGGTCTGGCTGGGTGTGGTGGTACATGCCTATAATACCAACTACTTGAGAGGCTAAGGCAGGAGGACTGCAAATTCAAAGCCAGTAGGCAATTTATTGAGATCCTGTTGTAAGAAAGAAAGAGAGAGAGAAAGAAAATGGTTCTAATATTAATCTACACCTCAATTCACTGCTGGATCATTTATCTTTCCAGCATTTATTTACCTGGCCTTACCCCCAAATTCTAGCAGTTCCCTGGGTAACTATAATTCTCCTAGAACAGTTGTTTTTAGGGTGTACATGGCCTAGAAACTTAAAAAAAAAAAAAAAAAAAAAGAAAGCTTGGTCTGGGGGTAATGTCTTGTGCCTATGTCCCATCCTATCAGAAACCTGAGGCAGTAGGACTGTTTGAGCCCAGCAGGGCCACCCTGAACAACAGAGCAAAACCTCATCTAAAAAAAAAAAAAAAAAAGGCCGGATGTGGTGGCTCATGCCTGTAATCCCAGTGGACAGCGGCTTGGGAGACTGAGATAGGAGGATCACCAGTTATTTGAAGTCAGCCTTAGCAAAACGAGGCCCTAAGCAACTCAGTGAGACCCTGTCTCCAAAAAAATACAAAATAGGGCTGGGGATGTGGCTCAGTGGTTGAGTGCCCCTGAGTTCATTCCTGGTACCCGCTTCCCACCCAAAATAAAATTGGGCCCAACCACAGATTATGTTGGTGGGGTGGGACCTGGGCATTTGTGGATTTTTTTTTTTTTTTTTAGCCCTCTGATGAATCTAATATACAGTCAGAAACAAGTATCACTGCTCTTTACACCAGAGGTCCACAAACTAATAGCTCCAGCTATCCATATTGCTGTGATCATTCCTTTTTGAATTGTTTATGGCTACTTTTGTGCAAAACCGGCAGAATAATGACAGAAACTGTATATCCTTCAAAGCCTAAAATTTTTACTCTTAAGCCCTTTATAGGAAGAGTTTGCCTACTATTGCTCGTGAGCCTCAACATTACTTTCTTCAGACTTTGTTTTAGGGTTGAGGAAATGAAAAGCAATTCCAGGCCTTTGGGTAAAAGAGAATTGATGATACCCTTTATCCCTATATTTATGTGTCATATACATGTTACAGATATGAGGAGCCCTTCCTTTGCCACCCCAAACAATTCCCTGATTTTGTCAACACTGTTCTGATTCTAACTAAATTTTGCTAAATTTAGTTGATTAAAAAAAAAAAAAACCTGAAATGGCAAATACTTACTGAAACTAAATTCAACACTATGCAGCAAGCATCCAACTTCCCTTTAATATGATGCATATAGTTTGATGCATATCTTTTGAGGCTTTTTTGGTTTTGTTTTGGTACTGGGGATTGAACCTGAGGGTACTTTACCACTGCATTCCATCTGCAGTCCTTTTATTTATTTTTAATTTTGAGACAGGATTTTGCTAAGTTGCTAAGTGGCTTTGAACTTGCAACCCTCCTGCCTCAGCTTCCTGAGTAGCTGGGATTACAGGCATGTGCCTCTATGCCTGGCTCCTTGAGACCTTTCAATGGCAGAGTTTTTTCCCCCTAAGTTTGATTTTTTTTTAATTTTTTTTTTTTTTAAAGAGTGAGAGAGGAGAGAGAGAGAGAATTTTTAATATTTATTTTTTTTAGTTCTCGGCGGACACATCTTTGTTGGTATGTGGTGCTGAGGATCGAACCCGGGCCGCACGCATGCAAGGCGAGCGCGCTACCGCTTGAGCCACATCCCCAGCCCTGATTTTTTTTTAATTTTATTCTTTTATCTGTGGAAGAGAAGGTTGGGCCAGAGGTGGATTCAATTTTCTGTTTTTTCAAGTTTCTGAGAAAATTCCTTCCTACATTTCTTACATTCTTTGCTTTTTTTTTTTTTTTTTTCTCACCTTCTTTTCCTCTTCCCTTCTGCTTTCTGGACTATTGCCAGCCCTCCTACATCTTTTCTCTCACCGTCCACTTTATAAAATCCTCATTCATCTGGGCTCCCCAACTTCTTGGTCTCAGAGCTATCCTACTTTCTCCCTGAGCTAATCTGAGTTTAGCCAGACATTGTTGGGTCAGAAGATAAAGTTGAAAGGGCAAATTGTGTCATTTATTCTTTCCTCAAATAACCAAATCCCTTTGGGAAGTTTCTCCTGTGGTCCAATTTCCTCCCTGAGTCTTAACTATTCTTGTTTCTTTTTTCCCTCCCTCAGTCTTTGTGATAGATTATAGCATTTCCTCATTACTATTATTACTGAGGCATAATTTACCTATAATAAAATGCACAGTTCTTAAGTGTTTAATTCATTGATTTTGGGGTATGCTCCCTTGTAACCATTTCCCTAAATAAGATTTATTTATTTACTTTTTAATATTTATTTATGTTAGTTGTAGTTGGGCCCAATACCTTTATTTTAATTATTTTATATGTGTGCTGACGATTGAACCCAGGGCCTCGCATGTGCTAGGCAAGCACTCTACAGCTGAGGCACCACCCAGCCCACCCCTAAATAAGATTTAGAACACAGAAATCCCCAGGTTTTTTCCAGGTGCCCCTTCCAATCTCTCCCTTTCTCTCTTTTTAAGCAACCACTTTCTATCACTATAGATGAGTTTTCTAGCACCCTTCCTGGCCTGCCAACATCTATCTTTTGCTTCTTTCTGTTTTACAGTTCAAAGTTAGAATCCTAGAAGTAAAGTGATCTGGCTTACTATATAACCATGCCCTCTGGTTTGATCATTGTTAAAAGAACATTCCTCTTTCTCCCTCATTAACTGTTTGGTTAATAACCCTAACAGGCAGTTCCAGGCCATTACCTTTAAAGTTCTCTTTCCCTTTCCTTATAACTACCTGTTTCAGCAGGTGAGGCTCAAGCATTAGGGCTCACCAGCTATATGCACTTAGCTTGCCTTCTTCTGCCTTCCTTTTCATACTAAATTGCACTTCCTCTTTCATCCTACTTTATACCAGGTTTGTGTTTATCATACGCATGTGTCATAATGTGTTCATCAGATGTATTATACTTTTTTTTTTTGGGGGGGTACTGAGAATTGAACTGGGTGCACTACTGCTGAGCTTCATCTTCAGCTTCTTTTTTTATTTTGAGACAGAGTCTTGCTAAATTGCCCAGACTGACCCCAAACTTGAAATCCCCCTTCCTCAGCCTCACAAGTAACTGGAATTACAGGTGTGCGCCACTGTGCCAACTTCACACTACATTTTTGTTTGTTTCCCCTCCTAATTGGCTAGGCGCCTCAAAAGTAGGGACTGGCTTTCATTTTCTTACCTCGGTGAATGTGAGTTTTCAGTAGGTATTTGTTGAGCTTTATTAGCTTTTGACCTTCAGAACTTTCTAATTTCAGCCTCTATGAAGCATCACTGCATAGCCAATCTTAAAATAACATTTTTATCTTATCAGTCAGAGTTGATAATATACAATAGGTCCTCTTTGCCTAGTGACTGGAGCACGTGTCCCAGCCTGGCCTTTTGAGCAATCTGTAGTCTAGATCTGGCATCAACCTTCATTTTCATAGTTGCCTTCCAGTACTCGCTCTCATCAGGATTCTGCGCCCCCCCCCCCAGTACTAGGGTTTGAATTCAGTGACACTCTATATTGAACTATATCCCTAGCCCTTTTGATTTTTATTTCCACACAGGGTCTTGCTAAATTGTCCAGGCTGTCCTCAAACTTGGCTGTCCGTCTTCCCCAGTAGGTGGGATTACAGGTGTGAATCACTATGCTGGTTCAGGTGATTTCTCTCTGTGTGTGTGTGTGTGTGTGTGTGTGTGTGTGTGTGTTGCTGGGGATTAAATCAAGAGCTTCAGGAATCTTTTTGTCCTTAAGTAGACCTTCTTTCTTTCTAGACCAGATCTTTGCTCATCATTTCTGCTGTTTGGGAAACTTCCAGTCTTTTGTACCCTCTGAATTTCACAAGAATTAGAAGAATGTATTTGGCAGGAGATTTGCTGGTCTCATCAAGAGGGCTTTTAAACTCAAGGAGAAGGGAGAAAAATAGCAGATAAAATTATATAACTGGATTCCATGAAGAACACAAGATGCAGAATAGTAGACAAAGCACATACCTCTATTGTAGCATTTATCACACTATATTAAAAATTTACATTCTCCTCTAGACTGAATTCTTTGAGCAGAGGGGTTGTTTATTTTATTGTTATGGCCAACAATGAAACCAAAACTCTCACATAGGAGATACTCAGTAGATGAATTTTCAGGAAGGCATTTAGTAATTCCCAGGGGAAAATGTGAGGTGAAAAGTTGGAAACAGTACTCGTGAATGCCAGGATGTTACTATGGAAAGAGTAAAGATTCTGAGAGAGTTCTGAGTTCTAGTTCTGGCTTAACCCAACTGAGGTGACTTTAAGATACTTTTAACTATTTCAACTTTCACTATTCTCATTTGTAAAATGGAACTTGTAAGGCTTAGCTGGATGTTGTGGTGTATGCCTGTTATCTCAGCTACTTGGGAGGAGGATCCCAAGTTTGAAGTTAGCCTCAGCAACTTTATGAGATCCTTAGCAACTTAATAAGACCCTGTCTCAAACAAAAAAAAAAAAAAAAAAGACTGGAATATAGCTCAGTAGTAAAGTGCTCCTGAGTTCAATTCAATTCCTAGTACCAAAGAGACAGGGGTTTCCTTGGATTGTTGTGTTAATACCTACCATATAGAACATGGATTTATAGTTGTATATGAGAGTATATACAATAAACAAAAAGAGCTAAATGCAATAGCACAAATATCAATGAAATTTGATGGAAGATATCATGATGGGAAGTGTGAAAGTATGTCATAATAAAAGGAAAATATGTTTAATAAAAGATAATTTTGCACAATAGCACACACCTATAATCTCAGCTACTCAGGAGACTGAGGCAGGAAGATCAAAAGTTCAAGGCCAGCCTGGGTAATTTATTGAGACCCTATCCCAAAATAAAAACTTGAAAAAGAGCTGGGGATGTAGTCA